CCTCCCCCCCCCCCGGTGTCCCTGCTCCCATCACCTCTGGGCTAGCACCCGCCTGCAGACCCCTGCCCCCAGCACAGTCCGAGTCCACGCTCGCTCCCCTGCCCCATGCAGGACTGACACCCCACAGGCGCCAGGCAGTGCCCACACAGCTGAGGCACACCAGCCCCTCCTGAAGGGGAACAGAGCTGGGCACAGCCCAGGGACCCCTTTCTCCCAGCGCAGCGTTCGGGCCTGTGCGCTGAGACCAAGCCCCCTGTGTGCCCCACCCATCTGCCCGCCCCTGCTGCCCCCCGCCTTAGCTAGGGCGCTCCATGGGGCAGGGCCTGGGCCCAGGGGAACATGGATCATAAATACCCACGGGCAGAGTGGCGAGAGCAGCAGGAAAGGAGCAGCCAGCCCTGTCCCCGGAGCCACAGCCTCGCTCCGCCCCGGCTGAGAGGAAGGACTGGGCCAGGCACCGCAGGTGAGGCCTGGGGAGGGTCAGTTGTCTGGGCTGAGGCCACCTGCACTAGCTGGGGGCTCCCTGGGCGCCCTGTCCCACAAGCAGGAATGGGGGAACATTGAGTCAGGAGGCATGGGGCATGCTGCGGCAGGGAAAGGGGTGGGAGGAGCTTTGGGGGTAGATATTGAGTGTTCTGGGCTGGGCTATTGGGGGCAGAGGGTCAGGAGTGAGGGCACCGGCAGAGCTGGGGGGGAGCCCAGGGCTGGCTGTGGGGCACTGGCAGAGCTGGGGGGAGCCCAGGGCTGGGCTAGCAGGGGGCTATGGGTCAGGAGTGAGGGCCAGCATTCCTCAGGTCCCAGGGACCCTGCCCAGCCCCCTTGCAGGGCACAGCCACGATCCACAAACCAGCCCCTTCCCTGGCTCTCCCTCGCCCTCAGAGGGGGCTTGCAGGTCTCTGGCTCCCCTGCTAACAGGAACGGGTGCAGCTCCCACCCTCCGGAGAGGCCTGGCTGGGAGCCCTGACCGGAGGCAGGCGCCCCACACCCCTGCCAGTCGGCTGCTCTAATCCCACCCCTGCCAGGCAGCCGCAGGGACGTAGAGGCCCCTTGGCAAGGGCAGTATTTATAGCTCAGGGAATTAGCTGGAGTCAGAGCGTGGGGATTACAGGGCTGAGTCACTCCTGGGGGCCGGGGAGGAGCAGACAAGAAAGGATGCACTGGCACTAATGTACAGGGCTGCCAGGACTCCTGGGTTCTCTTCCTGCCCGCCATGGGTGACCTTGGGCAAGTTGCTGCCCATGCCTCAGTTTCCCCATCTGTAGAACAGGCATGGTGCCCCCCTGGTACAAGGTGGGAGGCATAACTCACCCACGGGTTCAGAGAGGGACCTGCTGCTGGCCAGGGCACCGTCACCAGAGGACTGACGCCAGGCCAGCACAATGGAGACGCACAGAGACCAGCGGGGCCCTGGAACCATGTGTACAGCGGGGGTCCGAAAGCCAGGGAACAAGCCGTGCGGGTGCGGCCTGTATGCCGGCAGCCAGCTGGTCGGTTGGTCTTGTGACTTTGAGCCCTGGGCGCGGGGACCAGGGCGCACACAGCACTCTCCCTGCTGCCTGGCCAGCCGCACCTGCTGGGAGCCCTGCAGAGAGTGCCCGGAGGCAGCCCCATGCTGCCGGTGCCAGCACTGTCTCCCCCAGCGGAACCCACCCCGAGCTTTCCTGGCTAAGAAGGTGGGCACTGCCCCACGGAGTTCCTCTTGCTCTGCGTTCGGGGGCCGCAGGGCACGTGGGGAAAGGCTGCTCCTGGGTGTCTGCACAGGGCACGCTAGACAGCTGGGTTCCCCAGGGACCATGGGCACGGCTGGGTAAGCCAGTGCGTGGCAGTGACCTGTGTGCAGCAGAGCAGTGCCCTGGACATGCTGCTCTGCGTGCTGGATGTTCAAACCCACCCTGCAAGAATGGGGATAGCACCAGGGCAGGGAGTGCAGGGGGCACCTGTTGGGGGGCTGCGGCCCAGGGAGTGGGGTGCCGAGGGCAGGAGTTCCAGCCCCCCATGCTCTGCAGCCCATGACAGAGGCCAGGCTCCCAAGATGGAGCAAGGCAGCGCCGCATGGCACAGGACAAGGGCAGAGATCACGGCTGCGTCAGGGCTGCGGGGGGCTCTGAAGGGCGAAGGCTGGGAGAGCAGCTGCAGCCAGGACTCATCCACTCCCCTGTGCTCCGGTGCATGAACACAGCCCGCCCACAGGCCCGCATGCAGGCCCAGCCTGTACCAGCCCCCTGCCCTCCAGACACCGGCACCGAGGGCAGCTAGGAGCACACCAGGCCCTGCTCAGCCAGGGAACACTGGCACGATGCCCTCAGAGCAGCCTGTGTGGGCAGTGAAAAGAGACCTGGGCCCAGCCCCGATGCTTGTGCCAATGGCCCCCTAACCCCCTGGCCCACAGGGAGGCCTGGCTCCAGCACCGCCCCCACCCCTCCCCGAGGGCCCCAGGGTGCACACGATCCTGAAGAGGGCAGCTGAGCCTGTCCCCAGCCCCACGCACCGGCAGTCGGCTCCAGCTCGCACAGAGAAGGGCCCTGGGAAGCTGCTGGGGGGCCCTGCCCCCACCGCTCCAGCCTGAATTCAAGTGCTGCCCTGAGCCCCGACCTGGGCCCCGCTCGCTGCAGCGCTGCCATGTGCCAGCACGGCCCAGGGGCACAGGACACCCCACCCCCAAAGGGAGCGGAGCCACAAGCCCAGCGTCAGGCCAAGAGTGCAGTCCAGGCGGCTCTGGGACCCTCCGGGCGGGGCTGGGGAGACAGGACCCGAGCACCAGAGACACACTAGAGACACTGCGAGGACACGGCCCCTCGCCCGCCTGCCACAGTCGGGGCCCCCTCGCCGCAGGGCTCTGCTCCGCTGCAGAGAAAGGGCCCCAAGATCCATCCCTTGAGTGCGGGGTGCCAGGGCCCCTGGCCGTCACAGCCTGGGCTGCCCTCACCCCTCTGGGCGCAGCCTCGCCGGCTCCAGACGCCCCAGGCTGTAAGACCTGGCTGCAGTGAGGGCAGAGCTCGGATCCAATTCACTTTCAAGGCCCAGCATAGCGACCGCCAGCACCGTGCATGGGGCCAACGGCACCCACATCTCTCTGCACCCAGGGGAGCGCTCGAAGACACCACAGCTCCCTCCGGTGTGGAGCAGTGCCCACGGGACCAATGAGTTCAGCTCCAGCCCTGGCAGGGCCAACCCAGCTCCTCCTTCCCGGGCACAGCAGCTGCCCCACGGATTGGGGTGGTGGGGCCAGGGACTGTCAGCAAAGGCCTTCAAAGGCCAAGGTCTTGCCTGCCCGGCCTGGGCATTAGAGCCAGGGTTCATGCCGCTCGCAGCTCCCTCGCGCCCCAGAAGCAGGTGCATTTCTGCCGTGTGCTGGACTCCTGCAGGGCAGAGCGACAGTGATGTCCTGGGCGCTGCCACCCCCAAGGCTGGCCAGGATGGCTCCCCGCACCACTCAGTGCTGGTTTTGTGTGGAGCCCTATGGGCCCAGCCGGCCGCCACTCCCTCTCTGCTCCCATCACAGGGGGATGGCCAGAAGCCGACACCAGGCAGCTGGGCCAGGCCAGTGCGGGAGCAGACAGGGCGGGAGGTCGGTTAGAGACGTGGTAACAGCGCACGGTGCCCCGCGCAGGGAGGTAGGCAGGCCGCGGCAGGCAGGGACGCAGGAGTTAAGCCTGTTCTATTTATCGCTGTCTCTAATCGCCTTGTGACGCTCTATTCCTGGCCCGGGCAGCCCCCGCCCCCGCAGCAGCTCCCAGGGCCTCCCGCAGGAAAACCAAGACAGGTTGGGCCACTTCTTGCACTTGGGGCCAGGCCAACAGTATCCGGGGCCCTCCACCCCCGTCGCCCAGGGCTGCCCTGCTCCCCACCCCTCCTAGCTGGTCCGGATCCCCAACCAGCGACATCGCTCCCCACAGCGCCAGGGACAGCTGAAGCGCAGCCAATCCCTGGCTCCCGTGGAACGAGAGCGGCTCTGCAGAGACCCAGCACCCTTCGGCAGCGTGCACAGGTACCAGCGGGCAGCGAGCCCGGGCTGGTACCCTGGCACAGGGAGAGACCCCCCAGCAGGAAGTGATGCTGGGAGCCCTCCACACTTGCCCCCTGGTGCACACCAGCTCTGCGGGGAGGGGCTGCTGGCGCGCTGTCCCCTGCCCCACGCAGCAGTGGTGTCTATGGCTTTGCACAGGGCAGTGCTGGGCATGGCCCCTCTGGGTCAGCATGGACTCCAGTGCTCCAGCCCCAGCGTGCTCTCCTCGGAGTCAGGGCATAGCGACATAGTGCGGCCGCTGGCAGCATGAACCATTGTTGAAGAGCCCCTAGCAATTCTCGCAAGACCCCGGGAAATGCCGCGCGGCTCCCGACGCCCCGGCAGCTTCATGGGAGACACTTGCCTGAAAGCCGCTGCACAGCCCTGCCAACGGAGCTGACGGTGCTAGAGCATGTGAGCTCAGCCACCTGTGGAACTCACTGACACAGGAGGCTACTCAGGCAGGAAGCCCCAAAGTGGTACAGCAGGTACCTGGCTAAGGCCGGCAGCTGGGATAGTCGTTGCAGGGCTAGAACTGGGTATCTGTCTGCAGGGCTCTGGGGCAAACCCTGCGAGATGTGAGCAGGAGGGGCAGGGTCTGGCGCCGGGAGTTTTGTAACTGAGGGTGCCAGGCCGAGAGCCACACGGGGTAGCCCACCGGGCGACGGGTGAGCCCCTGCAAGGGCACATCCCAGACTGCTGCTTCTGGAGCAGGGTCCCAGAGCCGTGCGCACCTGGGGCAGATGTGGCCGGAGCTTGCTCAGCACCCGGGGGTACTGGGGGGGCAGCACATGCAGCCTGGGGGCGGCCCTGCTCAGGGCTCAAGCTGCAGTGGCAGCAGGCCTTGCCCACACAGCACGGACCTAGTCCGGCCAGGGCACAGGCCTTTACCGTGCCCGGCCAGTCCAGCCCATGCTCCGGTGCCCAGATCCCCCCTCACCCTCTGCCAGGGCACATCACCCACCAAGGGGCCTTCCCTACAGCTGCCCTCGCTCCAGGGGCTCCTCCACGCAGCGGGCACCGGAGCGGCACAGCGACGGGGCTGGGATGCTCTTCCCATCCCGTGGGAACTCCCCATCTCCGAGCAGCGGTAGCTAGGGTGACAGAGGCATCGCTCCATTGGCTGAGCCACGTCTACAGGGGGCTGGGTCGGCGGAGCCACGGCGCTCGGGGGGGGAATCGCTCACACTCCAAGCAACGTAGCTACGGCGTAGACAAGCGCTGGGGCTCCCAGTCCGTCCCCCAGGGGTGGCCCCGGATGGATCCATCCCTGGCAGGGAGCTGTTCCTCGCACTCCCGGCTCCCCGTAGTCTCCTCCCGGGACGCCTGGATCTGAGCCTGCGGGGAGTCCTGGGGATTTTACACACACACGGGCGCAAGAACTCCGGAGACACTTGAACCCGATGCGGTAACGAAGCAGCAACAGATACACAGCGTTCAGCCTAGCTCCCGAGAGGGGGCCCCCTGCCACCCCAGACGAATCCCCACTACAACAGCTGGAACCCAAGCAGGACGCTGCAGATCCCGACCCTAGCGTAGCTGCAGCAAGTGGGTCCATCTTTCCCCAGCGCTGCCAGAGGGCGCCCCGGCCCTGCGCTCTCCCCTGACGAGCCCCGTGCTGCTCCGGGCGACCAGCCCCGCAATGCTCCAGCCTGGCAGAGGGGAGCTCGCAAGCCAGCTGTCGGCTCACTGTGAACCTTGCCAGGCCTGGCCGGCTCCCCGCTGTCCAAAGACCAGCCCCTTTACTGCGCAGTCACACGATCTGCGGCTCCGCAGCCGGCAAACTGCCCCTGGGAGGAGCGTTGTCCAAGCCGGGGGGAGTGGGGCAGGTGCCACCCAGGGCTGCGCACCCCAAACCTGCACGGAGACTGTCGCGGATTGTGGGGGAGTTAGGGCCCTGCACCCCTCTTCCCGAGATTCACTGCGACTCTCACCCAGCCAGTAAAGCAGAAGGTTTATTTAAGGACAGG